CAGTTAGGGCCACAGGTAGGGCTGCAGTTAAGGATGCAGTTACGCAGTTAGGGCCACAGTTAGGGCTGCAGTGTTGGTTATATCCTAAAGCCAGAGGAGGATGGAGGCCTTTCCAGATAACCATGACGGAAATCACTCGAAAAGCAAAATTCTTGACCTTTTCTTTCCAAGATTTCATCGAGGACCGGGTTGGGAAACATTGCTTTAGACTTTTGAGGGTGAGAGGTGATGTCCTAGTTACCTACCTGGGGACCTTATCTATCAGGGACACATCATCAGTTAGAAAATCTGCCTTAAGCTTGCTGGACCAGGCCTGGGCTCCACAGTGCATTCAGGCTGCTGTTTCATAGGTTAACCACTAGGCTAACTGCAGAGACTTTTCGTATGTGTGATGTTCAAATTGGGTGGCTTCAGTTGCGTGATCCAATTCACATTTCCCCAAAACAACACTCAGCCGTTGTCATTTTGACCACAACCTAATTCTGGAACATTTGGGTGAAATTGCCGGCAATGTTTCTTGATTGTTGATTATTGCAGAGATCCACTTTGACTACCAGCTTCTGGATATGGGCCTTGTAACCTCACTGATACTTATTTGGAAAGACAATGGGAGATCATTATCATAACCTCACGTCGATTAGCGAAGGCTGGGGGTTGACTGCAAGGCTGGATAAATCCTCCCCCTGAGACACAAGAAGGCCTTTATACCCATCTTTTTTCATATTAAACAGTTTAGTCTTTTGTTTTTTGATGCTGCAAGCTCTGCATTAACTGCAGTCTAGTCACATGGCAATGTTTATTTATTAGGACTTTCAAAATAAAAGTCTCTGCTTTAACTTGCCGTGTCCCCCACAAGTGTTTTAATTTTGTTATTGTTTCGTTGGAGAAACACTGGATATCTCTTTGTTGTCTGAATTATTTCCCCTACGACTGGAGGAAGTTCCAAGTTTTTGGATGCATAAACCGAAATTGAGACCCTGAAATGGGTAAGCGGCCATGGAAGATGGATGGATGGATCAACCGACGTTATGCGATCTGTGGCACCCAGGAGAAGAAGCAGCTGAAGTTTTGAACTCCAGATGTTCACGCATGGAGTGTTGCTGGTGATCTGTGTGATGTCGTCATTAAGAAGTGTGTCAGTAGGGCTCACATCCCAAGCCTGACCTACCTTTGCCGTATGTAGTGGGTGTGTCCTGCATGGGTTAGTCCTGGGGCGTCGATGGGGGAGGTCAAACGCCGTATGGCGCCGTGGTTGACCGGCCTGAGCTTTAAATACAGACGCTCGGCCCCGAGGCCGTGGGCGAGGCTACGCTTTGATGTGTAGAGCAGCCACACACAGAGGCTGGCAGATGTGGCATTTCCGTCACGATTTCTGTCTCCCTCTATCTTAAAAACCTCAAAGTGTGCAACAGTGACCCCACCCACCCTCTGCCCAAATACTGAGGATCCTTTCCCTCTTCCATCTTCAACAGAAGGCCTGCTCCGCTCACAGCAGCCTGGGCCTCGCCTTAACTCCAGACCCTGGGACCGACGCTCCTAACCGCTGGAATGAGCCTGAATGTCTCCCCCACAAACCACAGCGCATAAAGGCGCATTGTCTCAGGCCTGTTTATCCCGATAACCCCAGGTTGGTCCAGCCTGAGAGTATTTTAAGAATCACATGAACACTGAGGACGGAGAGGAGACTGGGTACGGTCCAGCCACAGAGGACATGGTTCTAGACTGTGTGAGGCCGGCGCGTTTGTGAAAAACAGGAAGCACGCACAGCTGCCAAGGCGGGAACGTCGAGGCACTGAGTAACGTGCTATTAGTGCTGAAGTAAAACAAACGAGTTGTAACAGGTGGTGTTCCTTCCCACCACCCTGGGCCTGTCGCCAGGCCGGTTTGACACAAATCACTCATCCTGACAGCTCCTTCCACTTTTGCCCCCCACCCCATGCATCTTCACTGGCTTACATGAAGTGACTATCGGCACTGACATCGGTCCAAATGTCGCTGGCCAAACTGGGCTACGTCTGCCCTACGACGCATCCCACGCAACCCCGTTTAATCACGGCCCCTGCCCTGGCCTCGTGCCAGGTCACTCTGGATCACACGCACACTTTAAATTTGTGTCTCAAGAATGACCTTCTACATGCGATACTAAGACCTTCTGAATGTGACACTACTTGCAGATTGAATAAGCAGGTGGCTTATCCTGAGCGATGGAGTACGGTGAGCAGGGTTCGAATTCGGCCCAGCTGTGTACCTGAACCGGGTCTCAGAGGACTTCCCGGCCCTGCCCAAGCCTTTGGGCTTTGCTGTGGATGACCCAGTACTGCCCTTTCTCCACACCAGGGGTGACGTCAGGCCTGCACTGGGAGGGGGGTTATTAGTCACAGATAGGAGACGCAGAGCCCCGGGGCACCAGGGGGGTCATGGGTGAAAGAGAGCAGAGAAAAGGGCTGCCCCCCCCCCTGATTTATGAGCTCAGGCTGCCATCGGATCTCCTTTTGCCCTGGCCAGGGTTTTGTTAGGGGGAGGGACAGCAGGGCAGAGGGGTCAGGTTTCCGGCTCCTGTTGGGACTGTCGGGGGCAGGGGGACGGGGGAAGGGGAGGGGGGACAAATCTCAGTCATTGGCCTTCCTGTCCCACTCGTATGAAAAACACAAAACGGACAGTCAGATACCAGCCACATGCCCCAGAGATGATGAGAAGCTGAAGTTTGCGTTTAAAATACGAGTTCTGAAATTTCAGGTAATGGAAATGGTGGATGGATTTGCATTTTCCTTGGAATTATGCCCCAAGCGCGCGGACGCCGGCGGGAAGCCGTCGGTCCCTCTGGCTGCCAGCCTCGGCTGCTTCATGGATGGCTGCGAGTGCTGCACCGTCGGTGCTTTCACAGACATGCGGCCCTCGCATTACACGTCGCATTGCAGGGGGTCATGTTCCCCGAATGAAACCAGGTGTGTAAATGCCGACCCACACCCAGAAGCTGTGACCCCGAGGTGTTCCACTGTCCGGATCTCGCTTCAAACTGTGCCCTCTCGCTCCAAACAACATGGCTGCTTCCTCGGCAAGATCGCCCCGGGGGCAGTGTGAATGAGAGTGCTCAGAAAGCTCGATGACCCCCACCCCTCTCACTGTGCTCCATCAAACTGCTGGACCAGAAGAACTAGGTCTGACCCGTCACGCTTCACATCCACAGCCAGTGTGACTCTCATACCTTCTGAGGGACTTTTAAAAGCTTTTCTGCTCTCTTGTCCTCTGGGCTCTTGAGATGCACATTCGTAATGCCTGATGCTTCCACAGCCCGTGGACTGAGCTTTTCTGGACTTCTGGACTCATTCTACCCTCTGGTGATCTGTCTTGTATCTTGCGCCTAGGCTTGCATCACAAGGGACACTTTAAGAAGCCCAAAGGTCTCTGCTAAAAAGGGGCATCAAAAATGCGCCCCCCCCAAATCAGCTACTTTTACTGTTGCCACCCCCTCACAAAAGCCAAGAAATACACCATGGTAGAAAATGATAGCGGGTCATCTGAAAACCCAAATAGCCCAGGGCCTGGGACCACGTGAACGCGCCTGTGTTTATGTACACTCACTCTCTGCACTCTCACGCCATCTGATTAGGAATTCCTAATTGTGAGGGTTGGACACAATGCAATTACGTAACTGCATTTTTTGTGGTACTTTACCCTGTTTACTGTGTTACCCATGCCGGGGACTGGAAGACGGCAGAAAGAGAGAAAGGGCCGATATCTCAGGCTGTAAGTGCAAGCGATTCGTTTGACACCCGTCGCTAGGTAGCCTAACAATGTTGGTGGTGAAGCTTCCTGACTCCCTGAAGTTTAATATTTGGAAAAACAGTGGTCAGCGATAATGCCGCTTCGGCAGGGGAGCTGCGTGCCTTTGAATTCCTGCAAGCCCAGACCATTTAATGTGGCACCTACCAGCCTTTCAAAGTTAGCAACCCCAATAAAGTGGGACTTTTAACTTCTGTTCTGCTCCACCACTGACCTTGTGACCGTCCCCCCCCCCCTCCCCACCCCAGAGACATGGTGGTGCTTTAAAAGCCTCGAGCTGTCAGAAACACCCATGTCCTGCTGGGTCCTGCTAGCGAGCAGAACTGCAACCGCAATCACACCTGGAGACCAGGGTGGCTGGGGCCGCTTACCCTGAGTTGAGGTTTTCAGCCTGGGGGGCTGGGACTAGACACCAGCTGTTTGTCTGCATGGGACCAACAAAGGTGGGAGGGGCACAGATAGATGAGGGATCCAAATCCAAATGAGCATAAAAAAACCTTTTTCTACAAGCCTAAACAGAATGAGTCATGGGGCCCCACAGCGAGTGTGAGTGACAGGGGCCCATTGTCCTCCTCGAGTGCGGGGTGGGGGGGGTTGGCACAGCCCAGGGAGGGCTAGGTAACTTGATCACCGGGGCCCAGAATCAGCTTTTGGTCTTTTGTTATGTGCAAACAGTTCTCACTGCCAATCAATTAAGCTCCACCCCCTGCCCCGCTCTCTCCCAAAGGAGAGCAGGGAAAACAGGGTGACGCTGCTGGAGTTGTGAAAGGAGAGACGAGGAGGGTGGAGATGCTAGAGGGGAAAAATTACAGTTACTTTTAATTAGCAGCAATTGGGGGTAAGGGCCTTGATCAGGGGCCCACAGGTGAAATTACTCCGCTGACCATGGGATGTGAACCAGCAACCTTCCGGTCACAGGCATTGTGCCCTTGCCCACTGAGCCACACACTGGGCCCCAGCCAGGCCCCATCTGAACTGTGAGTCACAGACTGATTGTGTGGGACGCCCCACGTCTGAACCTGCAGCACCGGGCTCTTTTAGAGACACTGAAATGTCAACAATAAAATGTAAAGACTTTCTAATTAGAAATTCAGCATTTAAGTTAGTGCTACATAACTCGAGAGTTTTGGTCAATGTGCAACGTGGCTGTGTGGCGAGTAGATTACGAGGTCGGGTACTCAGACGAACGTGGACAAAAACAGAATCACAAATAGCCATTCACAGTCAGAAAAAACTGCTTTATTGTGATTTGGTTTCCTGTGAGAATAAAGCTCTCAGAAATAAACCAAATATATACAGACCCATGGGTGTAAACATGCATAACAACATTTCTCAGAAATATCACTTGGTTTTCATGAAGCTGCAACATGCTGCACAAGAAGTGGTTCCTAAAAGCATGTCTGATGAAGGTTGTGAGCCTTCTCAGTGTCTACTACGTGCCTCGGGTCCCACCCAGGACGATGGCCGAAGGGAAGGCCCAGAAGGGACCTTGAGGGAGTGACCTAACACAGCAGGCGAAAAGCAGGCAGCTGTACCCACAGCAGCAATAATGACACATTCCAGATGCTCATGTGATTCTGATTTCTGTGCAATACTGCCAGTCACCTGTTAATGGACCTAAAGACTCATGTGCTGTATTTATAAGACAAACTTGTATTGCTCAGATTGATGAGAAATACATCAAGAATAGGACACAGACTCCTCACAAGGAGACCCAGCCTCCATCCATCTGTTCACGGTATCCCCACCCATCTTCCATAACAGCTTATCCAATGTAGGACCTGAAGCTTATTCCAGGAAGCCCAGATTATGAGGCAGGGGGCATCTAGGAGGGATGGGGGTGCCAATGCATCTCAGACGCGCGCACACACACACACACACACACACACACACACACAGACATTACCAGACTCATCAGAAATGCCAATGGAGTGGTCTGTTAAAATAACCCATGGGGTTTTCAGCTCCCCTCGCAATCAGATGCCTCCCTGTCCCCTGTGAATGTTTACAGCGCAGAGATAAACCTGGTTTTCAATTTGCCAATCCCCCCCCCCCACTCTCCTTCTCTCCCCCCCCAAACAGCTCAGGACTTTAACTGGCCCAAAGGTAGAGTCCCCTGGCCATGGTACACAAGAACAGAGAGATCCAGCACCGCGGAAGCCGGGGCAGATCCGTCTGGTGCTGAGGGATGCCTGCGTCACCCGAAACAATAGCGCCACCAACTGGCGGTAAACAACACAGTCTATCGGGGGATTCCCCTCTGGAATTCATGTGCCCTGTCGTTACTGGCCTCTGTCAAAAGATGAGATAGGACACCGTCACCAGCCGGATGCTCCCGGACTGCCGAGATTCCCGATATTCCAAACCGGGGGCACAGCAGCACACCCCAGAATTTACAGTATGCGATGCCAATCCGCAGAGGCATTTAGCTACACGGTGGACTCCTTGGGCCCCTGCTGGACAGCGTTCCTGCACCCGTAGAGCCACTTGATGACGCGGGCGTTCCTCTCGACGATGGACACGACCGACGGCAACTGCTCCGTCAGCTCCTCCTCGGCGAGCCCCTCCCCCGAGTGCCGGGAGAACTCGCTGGCCTCTGAGCCGGGTCCGCCACCGCCGCTGACGCTGCGCAGCACCAGGGACAGCGTGTCCACGGAGCTGCCGCCTGACGGGAAGTTTTCGGGGCCCAGCCTCTGCACCATTTCCAAGTCCAGCCCACAGTAGTCAAAGAAGCGCTCTTTGTCAGACAGTGCCAGTGAGCAGCGTAGGCGGAGGTCCGATTTGGACCGCCGCAGCCGGGCTGTCTCGCGAGGCACAGCCAGCCTCCAGGGGTCGCTGGGGTCCTCTGGCGTGCTGAGCCTCATCCTCTCAGGTGAGCGAGGGCTGTTGGGGGTCGACATAGACCCATGGTCCGTCTTGATGAAGCTCTTGGTCTCCTGTGACGTGTCCCGTTGGTCCGTCCAGGACATGCGGGACTCTTCGTCCTGCGCCGGCACCCTCTCCTCGCTGATGGTCATTTTCGGGGGCCTGCCCCGATCCCGCATGGACCCCTGGAAGAGCCGCTGCACAAAGCTACAGGTCTTAGCCTCGCCTCCACTGCCACTGCCACTGGTGTTTTTGCACTCCTTCTTCTGCCGATAGATGACGAGCGAGTCGGGCCGCAGCATTCGCTTGCCGTTGCTGCGCCGCAGCAGGGGGGCGCTGTGAGGGGCCACCAGGGGGGAGATGAGGACAATGGGCCCCGGGGATGCCCGCCCAGTGTTGCTCCAATTTCGCTCCCCCACACCAGCATTACGGCGGTTCTCCTTTTTGGCGTCTTCCTCATCCTCATGTCGAATGATGAGGGAGCCCAGGACTAAATACGGGGAGTCTGGTGTGTGGCGGGAGCTGGGGCGAGGTGTGGGGGCGCCAGACACAGCAAGGGGACGCCGAGGCACGGGGGGAGGGGTGGCACAGGGTACCAGCACTGGCTCCTGCTTGGTGTTGATGACCTGCTGGCTCTTCACATATTTGGCCTTATCAGCCTCCAGTCGCTCCACAGCACTGAGTGCAGGACCCCTGCCCCCGCCATCCATCTGCCTACGCAGGTATTCTGGACCCTTGTTCAGGAGCCTCAGGGGGGACGGAGAGCCGATTGGCGTCAGAGGCTTCATGGTGCGCCGCCCTGCTGGTTAAGGACATCAAAGCAACTGGGGCAGCAAACGGCTGCCTGGCGGCGCTGAGGGCGTGACTCTGATGTGGGCCGGCACACCCTCACACACTCTGCCAGAGCGCAACAGGCTAACGATATGTGGCTCTGGAGATGGACATGAACTTTACTCCAGGAGCTCAGTTAGAGAAACGGGGCTGCAAACAGAGATCCCTGGACCCCGTGGTGTCGGAAGTCTGTCCCGGAGAAAGGTACCAATTGCAGGAGCCGCAATAGCAGAGCTCACTCTCGGCTTCGCTAAAGTTAGCGTCTTTGTCGGTCAGATTGGGAGCCGTACAAATTGATATCTATATCCAGCACTTACACAGATCCGGGGATGAATGGGTAGGCAACTGGTAAATCCTTTTTCCAACATCCAAGTTTCCCTAAATGAGTAGCCAGTTTGCCCACGAAGCACCAGAAATAGCCTCAAGAGTTCACTGGGAAGGGGCTGCTATTTTTCCCTCTCCCTTCAAGAGCTCCACCTCCCCCTTGATCATCCTTTTGTGATGGTGGCCCCGGAAAGGGAGGTGTAATTGACTCAAATATTTGCCCCTGTCGGCTGTCTCGGGACCGCTGCCGATGAGGTGACCCCTGTCAGATCTTTGTCGTATTCACGATGTTCCCTGTGAAGTCACATACTAGGTGGAAGGAAGGGTGAGAGACAGAGAGAGAAAAGAGAGAGAGAGAGAGAGAGAGATTCACATTAGTAGATGGAAGCTTCCGGTCTCCAGGGTCATGGGGGGGTCACTCGGCACCCCGCTATCCCGGGCAGCTCAGAACCTGGAAGTCGGTTCTCCCACCTCGCCTCCATCTCCTGCTGCTCCTGACTAAACCTTTTCCTGCCTCTGAGCCCAAAGAGATCTGAGAATCTGCATCATAGCCCTCGACAAGAGACCATAATGTTTTGCTTGTTTTCATTTTCTGCAGTAAGCATGCCTCCCCCCCGACATATTTTGTCCATTGCAGGCCGTCACTAAAATTTCATCATCCGGCCAACAAAACTGATGAAGGTTGGACCCCCTTGCGGCTGCCAATTGTTATCATATCTAAGGGGGTTGCGAGACTTGACCGGTGTTTTTTGGGGGAGGTCTCCAGATAAAAAATCTGAGAATCATGAGCATGCGACAATACATGAAGGAGGGGATTAAGCAGGTCATCTCTCCCCGGGTTGGTTCAGCCGCTCCAAAAGCTCCACGGCACTCGAATCGCAACTCAGTCCCAGCGAGTCACAAGCTGGGACTAAATAATGCATCAGCTGGTGAATGTTTAACAAGCTACAAGAAAGAAATGTCTACTGAAAGCGTGAAGAGGCAGTGTGAAGAGGCAGCGTGAAGAGGCAGCGTGAAGAGGCAGCCTGCTTCCCAGCGAGTCGGCACGGCAACAGAACGGCCCACGCCGCGAGACCAGTGGGTGTTATTTTTAGGCCCTGGATGGGCCGAGGGGAATGGAGTGACGCCGCGTTTGCAGCGGGACGGGTCCGATCGGCGGCGACATCCCGGAATAGCCGCGGGATATTTATAGCTGGGAAGACTCTCCCACCCGGTTATTGCGTACGTGTCGATGCGTCAGCACTCCACAATGCGTCTCAGAGGCGGAGACCAGGGATTGTGATTGAAAACGGGGGGTCGGGGTCCACTGTGGGCAGGGCGGCGAGGCTGCGGTCCATCCTGCCAGCCAAGCCTGGCGCCGCCCAGACACTCCAGTCCTCACTCGTTTATTTTCCCTTTCCTCCAAATCTTCCTCCAAAAGATTTTTCACTGACGAAAGAAGCGGGCAGTTCACCAGCCAGAGCTCAGGTTCTTGAAAACTTACAGATTTTGAGTCCTCGAAAATATTTACTTTTATCTGGAAGTTTTAGACAATACATGGAGTACTGAGCAAAAGTGTATATTTCCTCAGAAAACAGAATTTAACACTGGACCTTTTGCAAATTAAGAGTAACAACAAAACTAAGAAGATTTTTTTCTGTTCTCCAGCAAGTTACTGATATCTAGTTGGACGGCTAGATGAACACAGCTTCAGTCCCCAAACCTCTCCTCAGGGGCACCTCAGCCATTCCATGTGTTTGTTAAATATCACCACCAGCTTAATTAATTAATTAACTTAATGACTTAAAAAAATTGATGAGTTATTGATTAGCCAAACATATGCTAATAGCCAAGTCAGCAAAAACACAGTTATGGAGTATCTCTGATAGACATAGTACTAGTTTTACCCCAAAATGAAGATTATTTTACACCAACATGAACACCATTTTTACTTTTGCACAGTAATGTATCCTTTTAAAATAATTTTAAGTTATCTTAATTAAGGATACAATTGTTGGGCAGAAAGGGAATCTCTAACTAATAGAATCCATTAGATTTCCTTACATTATGTAAACTGTAAAAGCAGCAAACTATTTAGCAATGGCAGTTTCACTATCTTTACATCATTGGGCAAGAGAGAAACAGGCGACTTCACACCAAAATGACAGCATCTCTGATTGGCTTGTGCTTCTCATAGCCATGTTCTCATGGTGGTGAGGTATAATAAGCACTCAACAGAAGCTACGTCTGATTTGACCACAGTGTTAGTCTCTGGCCTAAATGCAAATCACACATTTTGTCCTTGTTGCAGAATGCTTCATTTTACCTCAGCCTGCTCTCAGGGGGCCACCAAAACACTGCTTAAAACCAAAAGGACTCATATGTGATGCAAGATGTCAGACAGAGCTATTTCAAGGCTTCCCGTCTCGAAAACGAACAATAGTTCACCTCCTCTGCCGGGAAAGACATCCTCACCTCAGGCAAACAGAACCAGGCGTTTTGAACCGGTGGAAGTTCTCAGTGACAATTACCCAAGCTGCTAAAAAGCTGCAGGTGGACCATGTGGAGGTGGCGGTCCCGGACTTTGGAGAGGGCGGGTTGGCGGTCCCGGACTTTGGAGAGGGCGGGTTGGCGGTCCCGGACTTTGGAGAGGGTGGGTCAGGATGTATGTCATGGGCCAGTCGGGTGGGAACGGCTGCCTTGTCTGGGGCTCACCTAGTAACTGCCCCCCCCCCCCCAAAGCTGGGTCACACACCTTTGAGAAAACAAATCACAACCACCCCACCCCCCCCCAGCCACTTGACAGGTTCGTTCGTTTCTGCTTCTTCCATTTTTCCCTTCAAAGCCTCGGCCATAAATCCAGTATAAAAGGGTCCTGCAATGTCCTCCAGATGTCTGTCAGCCTGAGAAAGCAGCCGGGGAAGGAATTGTCAACAGGTGCTGTGGGGGGGGCATGCAGGGGAATGTGCTAATAATGACGGCGGGTGTTAGTGTAGGCCATCCCAGAGCCCCCCCATGGCTTTCTTCTTGAGTCTGTGTCGTACCTGGGGGCACCGGAGCACTAAACTATAAGGTGGGATTACCATACAGCCCCAGTGCAGATCTCCACTTCCTTATTGAGCAGAGCACAGAAAATAAGCCACTGCAGAGCCCCCCCCCCCTCCCCCCCCAGGAGTGTAAGGAGCAGGCCGTGATTGGTTAAAAAATTAAAAAAAAACATTGCCTGACTACACACCGTTAGCTGAGTCACGGATAAATCGCTAATTATTCTTTAAATATTTATTTCTATAGTATCACAGTATTCTGTTTTTTGATGGGGGGGTATTTTACTTGTACCTGTATCGTGTTCTCTTTAAATCTGTCTGCACTGGATTTACTTGGTGTGCTGTCTCTGGAACTTGTCTGACGGCACTGCATTCTCACTGCTGTATGGCCCACAATCAAATGCATCTTAACCGTAACATCAAGCTGAAGGTAGAAGCACAAGAAGCCCACAGTTGCTTCGCTAATGTCCTGATGAAAGGAGCAGCCGCCTTTGCTCCGGGCGTCTACAGAGCGACCAGCTGAGTGTCCGCCGCACTGACCGGAGAGGCAGAGAGCGCTGCTGGACCATCTTGTGCTTTTTAAATGACCGTCCAGAGAGCGGCTCTGAAATCACCCAGAATACCACTGTTTGCACAGGGCAGAGCGGACCGGAGGAAACCGAACTGTCTGACATGAGGAATGTCACTGGTGATGATATTCTACCTGCACAGTGTGTATAGGGGGCAGTGGCTCCTAGTCAGGTATTCTGTTTTTCTATTGGCTGTTTCTTCAGGACCCCCGCAAGCCCCCACCCCCATGTTGCACGGTTGCATGTCCCGCATCAGCTCTCACAGGACAGACGTGAGCACTGCACCTCGCCGCCAGCTCCCAAGGCCTCGCTACCTTCCCAGCTGCGACCATGCCCCCCCACAGCCTTTCATGTGGCCCCCTGTGGCACTGTGGGGTGGGCTTAGAGGGGGGTGGGGGGGCTCGGGCCGTGAAAGGAGAACCAGATGTTCTGTGTCCGGGGGTAGGATGCTGGACAAACATCAGCGGCATGGAGGCCCCCAGTGGTCATCAGAGTACTGATACCCCCCCCCCCCCCCCCCCCCCCCC